ACTATCATGTAAAGCTAAATTGGCGCAGAAGTCAGCTGGCCTATTGTTATCCCTGTTTATATACTGAAATAGGACTTTCTTGAATCCCATAAAAAATGAGAGATCCGGCCCCTCATTGCTGAAATGGAACTTATTTCTGTGATCATATATATTCTGTAGCCACTTAATAGCATTGATGCAGTCACCTTCTATAATGATACCTTCTAAATCAATCATCCAATCTATGAGAACCTCACAGATAGAAGCAGCTGCACTTACCTCAGCTTGAAAAGCATCCCAATGTTCAAATCCTTTACCAGCAGCAATAATCATTGCTCCCTCAAAGTTCCGCACCACAATTCCGATTCCAGCCATGTTAGAGGGTTTCACTGTAGCATCAACATTAAATTTCAGCCATCCTGGAGGGGGGGGGCACCATTGTTTATAAGACGGCAACCCTACAGGCTGGATAGTACTCCATTGCTCCAGGATAATTGAGCAGTAAGGTTTAGACAGCAGGGAAAGAAAAGTAGCAGCAATGATAGTTGGGGGCCTACAATTCCTTTTATGTTTCAGCTCATTTCTTGCTCTCCAAACCTGATAAATAGTATAGCAATATATTCATCCTAGGCTTGGGTTGATATCCACATTAGCATGTATCTCCTGCATTAATTCTGTCAATGAATGAACCGAAGGCATGGCAAACCCCCACTTCCTCAAAATGGTAATCACCTCTTTCAATTTGTTACAAAGAGCTGTACAATGGTCCAGGCTTTCTTCAACTTGACACCCCCACGGGCAAAGATAATTGGCCGATAATCCTCTGCAGTAGAGCCATTGATTAGTAGGAATAGCATTCCTAAGTAGGCGCCACCAAAAGAAGCTTTCCCGCGGGTGTAAATTCAATTTCCTCATCCATGAATAATTGTATTCACCTTCTCCCATCTTAGCCTTATATGCCATTGCAGTCAAAGTCATGCTCATCCGAGAATTAATAAGTTAAGGAGTATCAATTCCCTCGTTCCCATTAGTAGCAATAGCCATGACCCTCTCAGCCATTACATTACCAAAGCAATCTGTCACCCGCTCCTCATTCCACCTGGCAGATTCATCAAGCAGCCAATTCACCCTGACATTTTCCAGCTCATTTACATTAACAAAGGTAGGCCAAGTATCTATCCTCCGATTGAGTATCCAGCAATCCTGCAACACATCTATGCTTTGGCCATCCCCAATGTTCCACCTGATGATTTCTTTAAGAGCCTTAGCACCATCATGAATCACCTTCCAAGTGGTAGAGGCTCTATAAACTTGCGTGTCGTTCCATTGCTCCATACCATATTTCGCTTTCAACACCTTATGCAACAGCAAATTTGGATTACTAATAACTTGCCACGCCAGCCTAGCATGCAGAGGTCCCTGCCAATTGTCCAGCCCATGAAATCCAAGACCCCCATGGTCCCTAGGTTGGCATAACTCCTTCCATTCAACATAATGCATTCCCCTGCTGTTAGAGTCCTTCTGCCATAAAAAAGTTATGCCAAGTTTCTCAATAGAATGGAGGATCCCCCTTGGAACTGAAGTATAAGTCATCAAATACATAGGAATACTAAGTAGTGATGTACGAATTAACAAAGCTCTGCCAGCAAGCGACAGATGCTTCTTCCCCCATATGTTTGTCTTCTGGTGAGCATTTCTAATAGTTTTATCAAAATCCTCAGCCTTTAGTCTCCTCAAAACCAATGGCAACCCCAGATATTCCATAGAATTCACCTTTCTGTACCCCATAAGCTTAGCAATCAAAAGCTTCTTCCAGTTGGGACAGCTCCTACTAAAAAGAACAGCTGATTTCCCACCGTTAATCCTTTGTCTAGTCCAGTCACAATAATCTCCCAATAGTTTCATGATACAAATGGCATTACTCCTACTAGCTTCAGCAAAAATAAGGATATCATCTGCATATAACAGATGAGATATCCTTTCCACATTATTAATAACCTGAACTCCAAGCTGCCCCCCCCCCCCTCTGTCTAAAGGCTTTGGTGAGGAGCTCCTAACAGAGAATGAACAGATATGGCGACAAGGGACATCCTTGTCGAAGACCACTTTCACATAGATCCATGGTGTTCTGTTACCATTGAGCAGCAAAGAAAATCTCGGCTTTGGCAATACATTGAATGATCCATTCCACAAACCTCTCAGAGAATCCCATCAATTTCATTACTCTCTGCAACGTGTCCCAAGACATATAATCGTATGCCTACTCCATATCGATCTTCAGAGCCATCATCCCCGATTTCTTTGCAGAGAACTGGAACTTGCTCAACATTTCCTGAACAATAAGGCCATGGTTGGAGATGGACCTCCTCGAAACAAAGGCCCCTTGCTCCTCACTGAAAATACTGCCCAGCACTGGTTTGAGCCTATTAATCAAGATCTTTTCCACAACCTTATAGAAAAATTGACAAAGGCTTCGTTTGGGACGGCTTTTTTATTGCTTTCTAAAACGGAGTTGTAGTACAAAAATAAAAAATTTTGTACTTAAACTCCGTTTTAGAAAGCAGTAAAAAAACCGTCCCAAACGAGCCTAAAGGCTTATTGGTCGAAACTTAGCCCCGAAACAAAGGCCCCTTGCTCCTCACTGATAATACTGCCCAGCACCGGTTTGAGCCTATTAATCAAGATCTTTTCCACAACCTTATAGAAAAATTGACAAAGGCTTATTGGTCGAAACATAGCTGGCAAAATTGCATTCTCTGTCTTTGGTATAAGACCCACTAAAGTATCCTTCCAACTTTCACACATAGTGTTCGTGCAAAAGAAATGAATAATAGCACGAGTCACCTCACATTTAATAATTTCCCAATAAAATTTTAGGAAGGAAGATGTAATACCATCCATGCCCGGTGCATGATTGTTCCCCATACTGAAGACAGCTTGTCGAACCTCCTGCTACGTAATCTCCGCCTCCAGGATCTCATTCACCTGATCAGGAATCATGTCTTCACTGTGAAAATTTGGCCAGCTATCACAAACAATCTGCCTCTCCTCCCATTTAAGCATAAAGAACTTCATGAATTCCTCCTGTATAAGAGCTGGATCATCACTCCTATCTCCATTTGGCTTTTGGACCTCCAGAATTCTGTTCCCCCTCTTGCATGCCGAGGCAAATGAATGAAAGAAATTAGAATTGGCATCTCCCTCCTCAATCCACTTTGCCTTCGCTCTCTGTCTCCACCAAGTTGTAATGCGTGCTAATGTAGTATTCAATTCAGAAGCCTTTCTCCGCATCTCATGCTCCTGTGCATCATTTAATCCAGCATTTGAAGATTCAACTTCTTGAAGTTCCCCCAATCTTGCCTCCAGCGAATTT